TTACGTGTTTGGGATGTGGCTGTGGGTAATGGTTCCACCTAGCAGTAGTACTGCGCATCCTTTGACTTTGTACAATAAAGGCAGGGAAGAATAATTCAGGATGACTGTCTGGCAAAGGCCAGAATATGTAGGAGGAATAAGATGTAAATACTTTCAGTAATTTTAAGGTCTATTCTTTCTTTATGTAGCTACCTAGACTATCTATTTAATCTGTCTATTACCTAATACATATTTAAATGAGATCTGAATCATGTTTATCTGTGGAATACTGTAACTGAGTAATTAATTTGCTCCTGTCTCATTTGCTCTTGTCTGTCTTTCCTTCTCCTTCCAAAGCAATTCCTACTATGATATTTGGGAAATTATACATATGGTAAGTACAGTTGTCAGCAACAAATTTTATTTACATCTTCTCAGGAAAGCATAAACCACCCACTGGAAGATTTCCAGTGGAAAACTCCAGCACTAACTAGAATCACAATTCTCTGTAACATGTAAAAGCTATGTTAACATTGCAGGCAGATGCAGGTGCTAGTGGATAAGGGTACACAGCAGTGCTTGAGCAGAGGCTCTGCATGGCCTCTCCCTCCCATGAGGGCTGTCCATCCCTACAGATGCATACTCTTACCTTTCTATGGCAACCGCACTGGAATTTGAATTACATAAATTAACACAGCTTGCTGTATTGGAAATAATTCAACATGGAACAGCCTTGAAAGGATTAATCTCTCCGGTTGTTAGCTCTGCCTCGTGTCCTTTTCTATACCTCTCTTTCCACTGGGCCCTCACCTGTCATGTTTCTGACAACAGCAGTGACAGTGTGGCTAGTCTGGTTAGAAGTGTAAGAAACAGTCGCACCCATATTTGCATATAAACATATGAACACACTTCAAGGTAAAGAGTAATCACAGAAAAACATCATCCTTTTGCCTTTTTTATGCTGCTGGAGGAGTCCTACCGTTCCGTACCGTATTCTCTAGATGACCTCTGCCACCTGGGTCATGTATGTAGACGTGAATTGCACTCACAGGTCAGGCGTTGTGTCATGCCTGCCCTTCTATCAGCAAGAAACCTGGAGGCTGAGAAACTTCTTAAAAACCCCAAACCAATACAGTCCCTCCGAAAAATCACTGAAGCATTTAAATGTTCTATTTCTAAGTACACAGAACAAACAGTACCAGATAGTTCAGAAGAGCGTGGGTTTGGCCATAGTTTCTACTGAAAAATGTCCCAAGCAGTTTTGTGTCCAGGTGCACTGGCCTCCACCTCTCACATGTCAGAGCCTCCCTTGTTACCAACAGCCCATGGCACGCAGTCACTGCGGTGCCCGAGGACGGCAGCTTTCCTGAGCACACGGGCAGTGCTGCTGACCTGGTGCTTCGCTGCTGCCAGCAGGCTGCATGTGCACCTCCGCGTTGCCATAAAGCACTCGCAAGGGTGCAAGCAGGATTAATTGGTTAGTACTGAAAAGGGGGACTCGGTGGCAGCTGAGGTTAGGTTTCACTTACCTCACAGTTCATGGTGCCAGAGCAGCTTCCTTGATATCACGTTTAAAATAATATTTTAGTAAAATTCTGACTGTTTTACTTCTGTGTAATTCTTGTCTCTATCCTCTCTGCCTTGTGTCATTTCTCACGATCGCTGACGATTTTGCTATAAGGTCTAATTTTGTTCTGATTAAATGAAAAAGTGGTGAGACAAGACTGATCTAGATGAACTGTCAAACACCTAGAAGACTTTTCAGCATTAAAAATATACCCAAAATAAGCATTTCTCTTAGAGAAGACTTGACAAACAACCTGAACAATAACATTCTTGAACACTACCCAGCTGATGGGAGTCTTTTCAGGGCTAATTTACATAATTTGCCATAATTACAGTTATAAACACTTGAAGAAGCCTTGGAAGGAAGCATGTCACTGAAGCCTAAATTTTATTTGGTCTCATTGCATTTGGCAGCTGTACAAAACTGTGGAGTGTGGAAATTTGCTCCTGATTATACAAACACATCATACAAACTTTGAATGCTCAATGCAAGTTTGTCCTGTACCAAAAGATACCACCATCTCCCCAGGCCTCTGTTCAGTCAGCCAGCATGATGTTTAATGAAAAATGTTCGAGGTACCAGTGGTGGCTCCTTCCATGTAAGTGCCCGTTAAATCACTGTGCGGTGCACAGGTAGCAGTGGACACCTGAGTGTCTGACTCCAGATGTGTACCACTGTTACACGTAGCCACGTACCTTAAAATTCTAAAACCAAAGTAGAAGATGTTTTTAAAGAGATGAAGTTTGATGTACATACACACACGTGTTTGTATGTGTAGACACATACACTTCTAATCACACAAATATGAGGAGAAGATTTGCAAATATGCAAATTAAGAATTAAATAATTCTGTAATAGATCTACAGAAGCAAGAACTTGTCCACTAGCTGATAATAAGCCCTGTTTTCTACTTTCTCATGACATTTTAACACGTGTGGAATGCAGGACAAACACTGACGTTTGTGCTAGTCAGGGAAATCTAGTTCAATTAGTTCACTGTACTCTGGTTGGTAAGTCTGTTTCCCATCCCCTTTCTGAGGCAATTCTCCACTTGCACTGCTGTATTTTTAATTATCTGTATAATCAGACAGTCTTGTTGAAAGGCTAGAGAATCCAGAGAAGTCAAAGCATACTCGCAGCCAAAGGAAGGTGCTATAAAAAGCTATGGCCGGCATCTGTATTTTAATTTATATTTCACAAACTTCAAAACTACGTAAGCATCAAGTCGTACAGCCCTGCTGATTTTCAAGAGTGCTGCTCACTGTATAATATGGAAGAGAAATACCAGAGCTTTAAAAGAGTAATACAAAAGACTCTTTCAGATAGACAGCTTCCAGCTATTCACAGAAACTGGTCACCAGACTAATGGGAGCATTTCAAATTCAGTTCATTAGTTGATTTTGGCAAGCCTTGATTACTTTAATTAGCTTTCTTCTAGCTTACAGAATGTACAAATGGCTGTGTACCATGCTGTATGTTGAGCGATAACAGCATTTTAATTGCATTGGCATTAACAAAATTCTTTCTGAACAGAAAGCTTTTAATTATTTTATTTGTCTCTTAATTTATCATAAGGAAACAACTAATTATCTTTCACTTCTCCTGGGCGGAAGTTTCTTTGTAGAAGACTGAAGTACTGTCCATTTAGTCTGGTTTAACAGCACTGTACCTTCACTGGGAGATTGTATTTGGAACATGGAATGGAAATACAGACAAAACATAAACCTAATTAATTAGTTAAATACCATTTTTGAACCTTTGAATAGTTAAATTATCAATACATTCTACTGCTGCCTCCTAAACCAAATCTAACATCAGTGTTACAAAATAGCACCAGTATCCTGGAGTAGAAACCATTAACTGTCACCAAAGGATTGGGTTACAGGGAGCAATCCCTAAACAGGTGGATAATACTAAAATGTTACTGAAATACTATTTAAATATGTTAACTGCACTCTTTTAAAATGGTACTATCAGTGCACAGACAGCCACAATGAGGCCCCCCTTATGACAACACTACTGTTAAAATTTGAAAGAAGACATAATTAAAACTCTGCCCTTGAGGGGACTGAAGGGGAAAGCTGGGATGTCTTTCCAGGTTAGCGATTTAAGGTCTGCTGCTTGAGAGTTACTCTTTAAAGACAAAGATCTGGATTACTTCAAGTATAAATACAAATTATATTAATAGTATGCTTTACTGATTAGAGTCCAAATGACTCTGAACTAAGATAGATGCTGAACTCAGTTACCAATATCCTAAAGTATACTTGTCATGGCTGTTGAAGTCACAAGAAATAAATAAAAAACAAATAAATAAAAAGAATAAAAAGAAAGAAATAAAAAGAAAGAAAAAGAAACTAATGAGTTGGCAGAAAAGTTTGCAAACCCACATGGATATTACAGAAAAATTAAATGCGGGAATAAAGTTACCTTAATGGTGAGCCTCAGCCCATGGGCTGGAGTACATAACTAGATTTGTAGGCTCAAAACTGCAGAGGAGCAACTGTGAGCAGTCAAACTTGCACTAGCTATTAAATTTTTCCCAGAAGCTAAATGAGGTATTTGGTGTAGAAAGTATTGTAATTTTGCTTTATTTATCCAAAGCAACTGACATGTTATTATCTGACATGGTTAACTTCCAGTGTCTTAACTGGAAAATCTTTCCTTCCTTTGAGAGACTAAATCTGAGTATCTTTAGCTTCCAACCATTGGAACCTGTTTAGTCTTCGTGATAACCTATATCCCTCTGTGGAAACACTGATAAGCTTTGAGTCACCTTGCTTGTCTCTTAGCTGAACCAGAGTGATCTCCGTAAGCGCTGCATCACAGAGCGTGTTTTCTAGCCCCAGAACTTTTGTGGCTTCTCTATAGTTCTCCTTTGTACTTCTCAACCAGTTAGGAAGTGCTAACACCAGGCCTGGACTCAGTGTCCAGCATTCTTACCACTGTGAAATCACCACCATTTAGTTGCAGCACTCTTTTTATCTCTCTTTCACACACACACACGAAAAAAACATTAGCTTTTTAAAGTAAGGAACATGCAAAAGTAGCTCAATATGAGGCTGTTATTATCAGTGACCTACCACCCCCCTTTCTGAGTTGCCACTTCTAAATTAACAATCAAACAAAAACCTTCCTGTTTCTTGTTCCTAAATAGGTTATTTTGCATTTGGTCCTAAAAAAACCTTTTATTTTTTTCTTTCTTTTTTTATTGAGAGAATTCTGCAACAGTGCTCTGCCTTAGAAACAAATTATTCATTGTGAACCCAGGAAATGTAATACAAGTTTTGTAACCTCCTGAGGTAGGGACCAAATGCTAACACAGCTTCCTGGCTCTGTGCAAAGAAAGCAAGGCTGAATCTGGTTCTAGCCTGTTAGCAAACAGATTACTTACACTTCAGATACAGAAAGAGAGCTTTAGAACTTTCTGAAATGTCTGCTGAGTAAGCATTACCTGAGTAAACTGCCAGTAAAGCTTCATTCTCTTGGCTTTGGCATAATTGCATTCAATGAGCCTGGGCCTGCTGTTGACATCCACCAGGCATCTGTTGTCATCATCGTCGATAGTGGGACTCAGAACACCCACATGGAGCTGCTGATTGCTTGTGTAATAAACATTCTGCAACAGGAAGCACAAACAAGATTTGTGGCCTCTAGACAGAAGCAGCACTTCTACCAAAAAGCTAATGGCAACGATAAATATGCTGCATAGCAGTAGGCTGACCCCATGGCGGCTTTAAATTATTTCCTTCAATGCAGGAAGCAGCACAACAATTTAAAAGTTGTTCTAAATGAACAATTAATTGTTAATTGGTACCAACAAGCAAATGTTGGTGTGCGATAGGAGATATGCGAACACAACTCATTGCTGTCTCATCATCTGCCTTTTAACTTCTGTTTCCTATGGTCATGCACTGTGGGTCTTCAGAAAGACTTCTAGCAGGAAGTGGGAATAGTTTATTACCATCAACTCTTATGAGGCTGTTTCATCTGAGGACAATACCTAACTGGAGAGCTAAGAAAAGAGAACAGAAGCACAGCAGTTCATCAGGAAGGATCTCAAGCTTTTATATGACAGAGAGAGAGAGAAATGAAGGTTTTATTAAGAAAAAAAAATTATCAAGCTAAATCCTGAATTTGAGGCACCTGACCGGAATCCAGTGTAAACAAGAAAAAGTTATTAGCGTCTGGTGACAGAGAGATATGAGGCAGGAGAGAGAACCAAATGTTTTATATGTCAATCACACAGATAAAAGAGAGGCTGGAAAAAGGGACCAGATATGGCCGCTCTGGATTTCTAGCTGTCGTAGGACTCAGTAATTACACTGAGGGCTGAAGGCATGAGGCTAGTATAGTTTACAAATTCTTTCTACTCTGTTTGGCTACAAATATATGTGGGATGTTCCTCTAGAAGAAAGAAAAAGAAGGGGAAGGAAGGTGAGCTTGCCAGACAGTCGATAATGTCCTCTTGAAAATAACATGTTACATATACACGCAGAAAGGTAACACAGGACTATGCCAGGATTGTGTTTGCTAATCACAAATACTACTTACTTTGCTACAATCAGACCTTCTTCCTGGGAGGACCATGAAAAAGATGAAATGGCAACATCATACTTTAGGTGTAAGGCTTGGACACCTCCAGTGGTATCAGAGTCACAACAGACAAGAGCTGACAGAAGGACCAAATTAATGTCCCTGTCATTTACTGTACCCATTCCATGTGTCTGTAACAAAAGGGGAGCTGGAAATAATGCTGTGTGTATTTGGGGAACTTTTCTGTTCCTGGAGGTTGATGGTACTATCCCCTGGTATCTCTTCATTGTTGGCCTTGTAGCTTATTTTATATGTGTGTATTCTTATTTGTGAAAACTCTGATAAAATATTAATCGTAATAGGAGAGAAAACAGAGGAACAGAACAAACCAGAACTGGGGAGAGATTTGGGAGCTTCATATAAAAAAAAAAAAAAATAAAAAAAGAAATCCCACTTTTGAATGCTGAAATCAGTCAATGCAGGGGTTAAATACAGAACAAAACAAATGGTGGTGTTTCTGTGCAAGACTATGTCCTCTGTTTGTTCTCCTGTAACACTTCCAGGGAAGATCCACAGCAGATACAAAGTGACATAGTTGCATAGAAGTTGCCATTTAGTTGCCATTAGTTTAGACTAATCAAAGATTTAACCCCCTTCATCAAGCTTCATGCTTTTCAACCCACAGAAATAACAGCAATCCGAGGTAGCTGAACAGAGGTATGTCTAGGTTATCTTATCTCTGGAAGTCTGAATAGAGAAAAGTTGAATAGTTCACAGGAGAAGGGTAAATAAAAGCACCTAGCAGAGCACATTTCCAAAACGGTTGGTTATTAGGGATTGAAATAAGCTGCAGAAAGACTTAAGACCACCACACCCCAGACTCCATCCACAAGTTAGATAATTAACGTTCCTGCAAACAAAACTGATGCTTTAGAAGAGCAATTAACATTTGGAATGCACTTCCTAGACAGACCCAACAGTAGCTATTTTAGATAACATTAAAGATCTATCCAGATACTTTTTTGGAGAGAGATTGAGGTAGTGATACAGCAAGGCTGTAAGATCAAGATAATCTCCAAAGGGGATTGTTAAAACAGATTGACTACCCAGGTGAACATTTTTTTGCAGTTCATTTTCCTCTTACCTAAACTTACTACTAGACAAAAAGAGGGAAATTGACAGTTATATGCATTTTGGACTAATTGGAAGTGATTTGTTAATTCCATTTGTTCAGCACATTGTCATCACAGAAAACAAGAGGAGGAAACCTATGGGGCTTGCTGGTTGGTGGTTTTTTGCCTTTTTTATTCTTAAAGATACACATCAGTCACTGAAAACAAATAAGCAGTCTTGGCTGTAACTCTGACAAGTGCCAGACTGTAGCTCGGGGTTGCTTGTGCAACAAAAAAGTGGTGTACCTGCAAACCTTGAGGGCTGAGCTGTTTTTATTAGCTCACTCTCGTCAGCCTTTCACAGAGTGGCCTAAAGGCTCCAGGTAATCATTCCATCTTCCTGGATAAAGCAAGCCCAATTCATAGTGCAACTCCACCAGCTTTTTTGAAGTCAAATCAGCAGTGGTTCAGCCTGAGCATCTTTCTGGGCAGAAGCAGAATGATGGCTCTGGCTGGGGGAATTACTCAATTCTGTTTGTTGGCAAAATGGTACAGAAATAAAACAATCAAATGCAATTATACTTAATAGATTTAATTAGCAGGTTGTTGCTTACCTTGAGGGAGCTCACCCTACCTGCTAATGTCACTTCATTTTTCAATGTGGACAGTTTAGAGAAAGAAGTGTGAAATCTTGTATTTTTACCTAGTACTGGGTTTTGAGCTCCTAAAGCATGCAAAAATAAGCTCAAACTGAAACAGACGGTGGAACAGTGACAGTCAGTCTGCCTAACTAGCCTCTTTCAAGATGTTGCTTTGCTTATC